AACTCAGTTCTTTGGTGGATTGTACTCTGGGTAGAGAGAGCTGTCCTTATGGTAAGGTGTTGCGAAGTTGCAAAAGATTGATTGAAATTTCCTCTACATCTCGTTTGCACTTGTATTGGCGTCAGAATTTTAGCCATCAGTGCTGTAAAGTTGGATATTGTTCTCGTATGGATGTAACTTCTACTAATATGATATCTCTTCGCACATTCAGACAAATAGTTTAAGATCATGACATGTTTGGTCCTGCAGGAGTTTCTCGCAAGCTAATACTCCCTTTGTTCCAAAACTGGTGTCATGGTTTTAGTTCAAATTTGATGTGTTGAATTCATCGAACCGATCACCTAACTGTGGCATGAAATCTTTTGCGTCTCAAACCGTAATACTAACAAGACGTATTCTGGCGTTCCCCATAAACAAATACTACCTCTGTAACTTAATTTAAGACATTTTTACAGCAATTGTAACTTAATGTAAGACGTTTTGCAGTTCAATTGAGCTGCAACATGCCTTACATCAAGTTACAGAGATAGTATTATTTTCTTGCTATAAAAGTATAGCACGTCTCTCAAAAATGAAAAGTACATCAACAGTTTATAACGATACATCATCCCAGCCCCATTCTAACTTATTACAACAAATCATCGAAACGAAATTGTCACAAGCATGATTCTAGTTTTTTTAACATTAAAGATACATATGCTTCGGCCCTACCTGTCACAGCTGCTGCTACCAAAGCACTCCAGTAACGGACCTTGTCGTCATACGCACTACCATAGAGACTAGACGGAATTTGCGGCTCTGTCTTGTTGGAAACATATGGTGATGCTTCAGATTAATGCCTAGAAATGCGTTGCCTATTCAATAAGGTGCGAAGAGCTTGATTTCGGGCTCTCTACCTTGCCGCTGACTAGGCCTTCCACTCTGCTTTCAAAAAAAACCTAGGCCTTCCACTAGGTTACCATAAGCTTGAGAGGATAGAGGTCCTACCTTTAATTGATGGCTTGGCTGGAAGGCTCAAAGGATGGAAATGCGAACTAATGGCCAGGCCGGGGAGGCTCACTTTGATCAAGTCGGTTTTAACTTCTATGGCAACTTCCTGACAAGTTCACCGTTGACAAGGGACGGTCAAGAAAATGGAAAGGATCCAGAGGAGCTTCCTTTGGAATGGCGACGAGGAGTGCAGCGGTGGTAAGTGCCTTGCTAATTGGAAGGTTTGCTCACCAAAAAAATTGGGAGGCCTCGGAGTTAAGGACCATGCTTCAGTTGTGCTCCCGCGGCTACGTTCGGCACGGCTTGAGTGGAGCAGCAACCTGCAACCTTGGCAGGGCTCCCCCATCCCCTGTGACCGCACGGACAGATCACTTTTCTCCGCTTGCATCGGCCTATTCTACTTGGCTCGACGGAAAAATCTCTTTGTACAATATGTGTTGGCTGGCATAGATGGATGAAGGGTTTGGAAAAACATCAACACCGAGCAGCTTCTGGACAAATTTGTCAACCTTTGGGACATGCTACACTCTTCAGAACACAAAGATCAGAGACACACATGTGACATATTTCATCCTTACCATTAATGCATCTACCAATGAAGGGAGCAAAATAATGTATAACAGGAAAATGAATGCTCCCTATAGTAGCTTGTGCTATATTCTTAGATTCTCCCACAGTGATACTAGCAAGAAAGTCTTTATATTCAGATTTGTGGGGTTCATTAACATTGCCCCACTGTGGAAATTTGCAAGCAGTTGTAAAATCTTCTAGGTCCATGGTATAAGATTGATCATAAATATCAAATAGGACATTCTGAGAATTACACGAAGATGTAAATTTAAATATCCTCACGAATGAATCATTCAATTGGTAGTACTGAGGACACTTATCTTGCATGAAGTCCTCAAGATCGGCATTACGCACATATGCGTCAAATTCATCCTTAATGCCTGCATTGACCATAAACTCTTCTGATGGCCATTCACAAGACCGCACCTCAGCGTCCCTTGGTGGTTCATCGTCTTGCTCACGCATAGCACGCCCGGGTCCTCTCTTTGTTGAGGAACCACCTTGGTACATTTTCCTGGACATATTTCTTCCTCTGAAAAATTTCTGAAATTTTTAGTAACTTCAAAATAAAAGTGAATCAAACTAAACAAGATTAATAGCAACTACTCCCACAAGCGTCTAGAGCCTATATCATGCATTATAATTACCTGGAACCTCATAAATTTGACATGCAAGCTCAAGAACAGGATCACCTATGCAGCAAAAAATTGCAATGAATAAAGCACTAGAACGAAAACTAATTGAACCAATGGAGGAGTCACATACCCAGCAACAATCTCCCAAAGCAGTTTTGTAAATGGAGATTTGAGCAAGGAGATCGAAAATCGTAGCAAAATGAGCTAGAACTCATGCTTGAGCTGGATGGGGATTTTTTTGGGGAGGAAGATGGAGTGTGTGGGTGCAAGAATAAGTGGAGGGGGCCCACCGTGGGCCGACAAGACAGGGGGCGTGCCTAGGGGGAGTGGGCACCCTGGACCCTCGTGGCCAGGTGCTTGCCCCCCCCCCCGCTGTGTTCTCAGTGCCTAAAATCCTCAAATATTCCATAAAGAATCATACTAAATTTGCAGGGCATTTGGAGCACTTTTATTTTCGGGATATTTTTTTATTGCACGGATTATTCGAAAAACAGACAGATAATACTAGTTTTCTTTATTTATTCTAAATATCAGAAAGTAAAAAGAGGGTACAGAAGGTTGTGCCTTCTAGTTTCATCCATCTCATGATCATCAAAAGGAATCCACTAACAAGGTTGATGAAGTCTTGTTAACAAACTCATTCCGAATAACATGGAACCAGAGAAATTTCGAATAACACTAGGTTACCTCAACGGGGATATGAACATCCCCAATAATAAGAATATCATATTTTTTCTTAACAGTAGGAAGAGGAAATTCAAAACCTCCAATAATGATAGTTGGAATTTTTCCAATAGAATTGATGATATGAACTTGAGGTTGTTTCCTCAGAAAGTGTATCGTATGCTCATTACCATTAACATGAAAAGTGACATTGCCTTTGTTGCAATCAATAACAGCCCCTATAGTATTCAAAAAGGGTCTACCAAGGATAATCAACATACTATCGTCCTCGGGAATATCAAGAATAACAAAGTCCGTTAAGATAGTGACATTTGCAACCACAACAGGCACATCCTTACAAATACCGACAGGTATAGCAGTTGATTTATCAGCCATTTGCAAAGATATTTCAGTAGATGTCAACTTATTCAATTCAAGTCTACGATATAAAGAGAGAGGCATAACACTAACACTGGCTCCAAGATCACATAAAGCAGTTTTAACACAGTTTTTTTTAATGGAGCATGGTATAGTTGGTACTCCTGGATCTCCAAGTTTCTTTTGTATTCCACCCTTAAAAGTATAATTAGCAAGCATGTTGGAAATTTCAGCTTTCGATATCTTTCTTTTGTTTGTAATGATATCCTTCATATATTTAGCATAAGGGTTTAATTTAAGCATATCAGTTAAGCGCATACGTAAAAAGATATGTCTAATCATTTCAGCAAAGCGCTCAAAATCCTCATCATCCTTTGTCTTGGATGGCTTAGGAGGAAAAGGCAAGGGTTTCTGAACCCATGGTTCTCTTTCTTTACCGTGCTTCCTAGCAACAAAATCTCTTTTATCATAACATTGATTCTTTGATTGTGGGTTATCAAGATCAACAGCAGGTTAAATCTCTAAATTATTATTATTGCTAGGTTGAGCATCAACATGAACATTATCATTAACATTATCACTAGGTTCATGTTCATCACCTGATTGTGTTTCAGCATCAGAAATAGAAATATCATTGAGATTCTCAGGTGTATCTATAACAGGTTCACTAGAAGCATGCAAAGTACTAGCATTTTTCTTTTTCTTCTTTTTAGATGGACTAGGTGCCTCTAAATTATTTCTCTGAGAATCCTGCTCGATTCTCTTAAGGTGGCCTTCAGGATACAAAGGTTCCTGAGTCATTCTACCAGTACTACTAGCCACTCTAACAGCAACATCATGTTTATTATTTAATTCATCGAGAAAATCACTTTGAGCTTTAAGTAATTGCTCAGTTTGAGTGGTAACCATAGAAGCATATTTGCTAATGAGTTTAAGTTCACCTTTAAATCTAGCCATATAATCACTCAAGTGTCCTATCATGAAAGCATTACTCTTTAATTCTCTTCCAACATAAGCATTAAAACTTTCTTGTCTAGCCATAAATTTATCAAATTCATCTAAGCACTCGCTATGAAAATTAGTAGACGGAATTTCAACTTTATCATATCTATAGAGAGATTTTACCTTTACTACCTATGTCGGGTTATCAAGACAATGTGTTTCTTCAACAGGCGCTATATTAAGACCATGTATTTCTTCAATAGGAGGTAAATTCTTAACATCTTCAGCTTCAATACCTTTTTCTTTCATAGATTTCTTTGCCTCTTGCCTATCTTCAGGACTGAGAAATAGAACACCCCTTTTCTTCGGA